CAATATATGTTGAATATAATCCTACCATGTATCATTTAAAGTATTATAGTGTATTATGGTAGGCAAACCAGACACATAATATGGAAAATAAAATAAAATGTAATGAATGGTATTTTGTGATCTTCATAGGATTCTTTGCACTAAACATTCCTAACCTAACTTAAATAAGGAGTGTAAAATTGGAAGATAAGAGAACTTACCTCAAAAAATGTGATTTCTAAACTGAGAGTTGAAGACTGAAGCAAACCAGAATGTAAAGTTCTCTATTTAAAATAATGTGTATGGTAATATCCTTGATTTGATTGTCATGTACTGAGGGCATATTTTGAAAAACCATATTGCACACTATAGAGCTATACAATGTAAGTAAGAAATCATAAAATAAATGGGAAAAATAAAATGAAATAGTTTAAAAAGAAGTGTTCTATTGCTAAAGCGGAAAATCCTAAACATAGCAAATAGAGTGTGCAAAGGTCTATAGACAAGATTGCATTTTGGGTAACTATAGTATGCTGTGGAATTGAGGCAGGATCTTAACAGATATGTCTGAAGGTATAATATGTCAAGATCTATATGCTGTGTGAAGAACTTGGAACATTATCCAAAGTCTATGGAGAACTAAGAGTTTAATCTCTGAAGTAGCACAAGTATATTTGTACTTTAGCAAGATCATTTGCAGTATGGTGATAAATATTATCAAGTATAATTGTACTTTAGCAAGATCATTATCAGTATGGTGATAGAGAACAAAAAGGTTAGTGAGAAGTCATTCAGAAGAAAGAGCAGTCACCTGAACTGAAATAGTGGCAGTGGCAATAGAAGACATTCAACAGATTCTAAATGATTTAGAATATAAAATATGCAGTTGGAAAGTGACGAAGAATATGGTTCAGTGCAACACTCTGGCTTTTGAGTTGTAAATTAATGATGGTGGTAACATTATAGAACACCTGAGAGAAGGGTTGGATAATAATTAAAAATAATAATAAGTTAATAATATCTCTGTGGGCTATCAAAGTGGAGAGGCTTTGGATACATATCTCAGAAGGAGAAAAAGATAGTGATTAAAGATTTCAAATAAACATTATCATACAGGTAGAATGTAGCCTACAAATGAGATAGGTCAGATGAGGGACCAGCAGATGGCATAATGTTACTCGACTCCCACATAGTAGACCGTGGTTTGAGTCCCGGACCCTGTGGCTTAAAACTAATGCTGAGTGCATGTGCTTGTGTGCCCAAAATCCCAAGAGGAGAATGGAGAAGAGATTGTGGTATAGTCATCTCCCCCTGGGAGGGTGGTGGTGATTTCTCGCTTTTTGTCTGTCTCTCTGTGTTTCTCAGGTGAGCGCACACAGTCTGTAGCAAAGATCTCTCTCTCTCAAAAAAAAGATAGGTAAGATGAGAATTGTGACATTGACATTGAAAAGAATAAGGGGAGGGAAGGGAAGAGGAGCCCTTGAAAGGATTGGGGTTTAGCCAAAAGATTGGCAGAAAACAAGTAGTATATAATTAAACAAAATTCAAAGGAAACAAGAAGTGGACAGGATGTATAGTGCTGTAACAGAGTCATTAAGATAAGAACTCCTAAACGTCTCCAAACTGTAGCACTTTGTTGATTTTGGTGAGTACAATTCCAGTGAAATAGAGTTGAGAGGAAGCCATATTGCAAAGGGCCGAAGAATGAATAGCAAGTAAGTCAACAAAAACTGACCTGCATCTCCTAGATCAAGATGCTTGTGTGATTAGAGAAGGAGAGAGAAACTAGCTGGAGGGGAGTGCAACAAATTGTTTGTGAGAGGTACCGAAAATAAGAAAAGGGAAAGCTTTTGGCCACATATTATATATTCTAAGGAAATGTGGTTTCCCAGAGGAAGATGAGGGTGTTGGGTTTAGGAGAAAGAGTACCTCTTCTTTTGTGACAGGTAAGAAAACCCATATCCACATATGTGCACTTGCTCAGTGCTATTTGAAATGGAGTCTAACATGTTTGTAGAAGATATGGAAAAGAAGAACCAGATTTGTGTGGTACCCAGGAGATAGACTAGTATTAGTTTCTGATTTGATATTAGAGCCTAATAAATGAGCTGTCAAGGTTGATTACAGAATGTCTAGTGTGGGTGTTGTGGGAATTCGGGAAGAACTACAGACTTAAGTAGGATGTTGATGGTAAAGATTATCTGTGATTCTGAAATTCATCTAGAAATATAAGAGAGCAGGAATAAGACAGAGAAGTTGATGATAACTAGTTCTCTAGACCACTAGCCCTAATAGGTAAGAAACTATCTAGTTCATTATCATCAGAAGCCAGCACAGTGCCTGGCATAGGGGCTTCTAGATACTTGTAGAAATGGAAGCATCAACATCTAAAGGACTTTATAAAGAAGATTGTAAGGAAACACTCAAAATTAAGTCACCCAAGGCCTAAAGAGAAGAGAATTTTGGGGACTAACAAATGGCAAAAATGATTACATCACTGGACTCCCACATAGTCGACCATGGTTTGAGTCCTGGACCCAGTGGCTTAAACTCATGCTGGACACGTATATGTGTTTGCCCAAAATCCTGAGAGGCGAATGAAGGTGAAGGGATGGCAGCATGGTCATCACCCCAGGGGGTTATTTCTCACTTTTTGTCTCTCTGTCTTTCTGGTTAGTACACATATTCTATGGCAAAAATATCTTAAAAAGAGAGAGAGAAGGGAACCAGCAGTTAGCGTAATGGCTATGTCGCTGGACTCCCACGTAGTCGACCGCGGTTCGTGTCCCGGACCCGGTGGCTTAAAACTCACGCCGGGCGCGTGTGCGTGCGTGCCCAAGATCCCGAGAGGAGAATGGAGGAGAAGGGATTGCGGCGTGACCATCCCCCCTGGGGGGCGATTTCTCGCTTTCTGTCTCTATGTCTCTCTCTGTCTGTCGGGCGAGCGTACGCGCCCTACAGTGAAAAATCTCTCCAAAAAAAAAAAAAAAAGAGAGAGAGAGAAGAATTTTAAGTCAAAGGAAATGGCCTCTGTAGTTGAATTCAAACTAAATGCTTTAAAATTTTATTTAGTGGTTGTCTTTGGATAGTTAGATTTTTATTTTTGGTATGTGTGGATTTTTTCCATGACCTTTAGCTTTCTAAATTGTCTGTTGTAAAGATTTTTTTTTAATAATTTCATCAGTTGGGGTTCGCTGGTGGCGTGGTGGTTAAGGGTACTGGTCTCCCACATGGTTGACCGCAGTTCAAGTCCCAGACCTGGTGGCTTGCTTTCTCACTTTTCTCTCTCTCGCTGTCCCTCTCTGGTCAAATTAAAATGAATAAATTAAATAAATATAGTTAAATAAAATAATTCTTAAAAATACAATAAAAACAATGTAGGTACGGTTCCAGTCTACTCAGTTGGTCACTGAGTTCAGAGTCCTGATGATTTTCTGTCATTGTGCTGCTGAGCTCAGGTTCTATCTGGTCAGTCAAGAAAAGCAGATCAGAAGCAGAGACTCTGCTAGAGGACTTAATGCTATGCAGTAACTAAATGTGACAATGCTAACTCCTTCCTGTTACTGAGTCTCTTTTGTAATTTCTGGATACTTGTAAGGCTATTTATCAAAATGGTGACTGCTCACGGATTCCATGGTCAGTGCTCTCACAGCAAAGACAACTGTTCTTCTAACTATAGCAACATGGAGGGACTGGCTTAAGTTTGGGATGCAAGAGCTATGGCCATTTTAGAAACATAAAATTGATGTGAGTGGTAACAGGAACTCAACTTTCCTAAGTACCATAGAGTTAGAGAACAAAACACTTTGCTATTCAGGTTTCCTGAACTGGTGCCAGTGTCTCCCCAGGGTGGAATGGCCACACCACAGTTCCTTCTCCATTCTCCTCTTAGGATTTTGGGCAAGCGTATACATGCACCTGGCAAGTTTCAAGCTGCTATGTCCAGGACTCACACTATGGTTGACCACATGCGAGTACAGCACCATAACCATTACAAAACCTGCTGACCCCACTATTATTTTTTTAAATACATACATATATAATAACTTTTTATTACAAGAGTTGGAGTTTTTATCTTTCTTCTTTAAATATTTTACTTTTATATTTGTTATTTGTATCCTTGCTTAGTATAATATCCCATCTTGCATATTTTCCATACTTTTCTTCATTGTTAAACTTCCCTCCATCCTAAAATAACTGCTATGCCACAAGCATAGGTTCCCTGAAACCTGATATACATTTTATTTCTAGCTTAAAATACCATATTAGCTAAACCAGACTAGGCTGAGTTTTATGTAAAATTAAATTGTTTCAAATACCCTCAATATTTTTATAAATTCTACATATAGATAAGACACTGAAAGACCAATGAGACTTTTTTTTTTTTTTTTTGGGGGGATTTTCACTGGAGTTTCGGGGGGCTGCCCATAGTGTGAGTGCGCTCGCCAGACAGACAGAGAGAGACATAGAGACAGAAAGCGAGAAATCACCCCCCCAGGGGGGATGGTCACGCCGCAATCCCTTCTCCATTCTCCTCTCGGGATCTTGGGCACGCACACGCGCCTGGCGTGAGTTTTAAGCCACCGGGTCTGGGACACGAACCGCGGTCGACTACGTGGGAGTCCAGCAACATAGCCATTATGCTAACTGCTGGTTCCAAGACCAATGAGACTTTTTTAAAAGCCTGAAAAAAAAAACCCAGAATAATGAAGAGAGATTATTTTTATAAGAATTCTATCCACTGAAATAATTGAATTTTCTGATTATAAACTAAGAAAACAACCTTATTAACATGGTGGTTGCATTTAAATTTTTACTTTGTTTTTTAAACTAGGTGGGTATGAAAATTAAGCAAAATATACTTAGTTTGTAAGTGAGGGGCAATGTTTTTGTTAGAGAAGGTTTAGTGCACATGAATCAGTTTTTTCTTTTTTATAATAGAATTGTTAGCTTCAACTGAAGTTCTTGGCCAAAAATTATCTTTTTTTAAATAAAAAGTGAACATTTCATATTTTTCCCAGATAAGGAAGAAGACTTTATCCGCAAGGATGCTACTGCAAATGAAGAGTTAGAAAGGAGTAGAGAATATACATACCAATGGCTTCATACACAGGTTGGGGTTTTTGAAACAGCAAGTTCCAGAAATATGAAAAGGTGAGGTCATTTCCTTTCAATTAGATTTTTGTATTGTAAACACATCTTGAAAAGTGAAACCTGGGTTAATTGTGCTAAAACAAACATGACTTTATAGCCAAAGGCCAATCTTCCACATTGCCAGGTTATTAAAAGCCTTTCATATAGAATCAATTTTATCACTCTTTTTTTTATATATAGTTCACCCTAAAATGTTTGGGAAGAACTCTATTTTGTAATGCTTATAACTACCAGATGAACCACAGAAAATAATTCTACTTAATAAAATGAAAGTGTGGTATCTATGAACTGTTTTTAAACATGATATATACTAAGTTGCATTTTATTTTCTTATAGTTTTGTCAGTTCAAATTATTATTCAACTCTCCAACTGTCACTTTAACCATAAAGCTAATTTTCAGTGATGCCCAATGCTTCATTTTCCCTCTCTTTCATACTGAGATAAGAGTATCTTACCTTTCTCACTCACAGGGTACCACACCTATACGATTGTACCACACCTATAGGAAATTATTTCAGTATGAATTTTAGATATGCTTAACCAAGTAACAATATCCTTACTAATAAAAGTTATGTGTAATTGTATAAAACAATAAGCAATTGCTCGTGCATTTTCTGCTTGGAAAATATATAAAGGAATAAGTAGTAATATATTAAGAAAAATTGTTTTTAAAAAAACTGAAGTTCTTAAAAAGTTGAATGTCAGTGTTCTAAGTTGAAACAGAAGTTTATTATTACACTAGGGTAATACATTAGTAAACTAGAGTTCTTTCCAATATAATTATTTTTACCAATGCTGAATAAATATATCTTCCTCAAAAGATGATTCAAACATAGAGGTAAATGTAAATAAAAATTTCTGTAATGTGTGCTGGCCCTGTGGTGTAGCAGCAATACACTATGTGAGAAGACAGATCCCACTTGGCTACGGCAGTTCAGATCCCCAACCTGGTAAGCCTGACATAGGCTAGACATGATCCAGTGGGCTGGAGGACCAGAGGAAGGCAATTACTGGCCAGACCCTGTGAAGGGTGCAATCTCTCTCTTTCTCTCACGTTGCTATATGCATGCACACATGCTCTATTTTGAAATTTTAATTAATTAATTAATTAATTAATTAGAAAAATAGGTGTTCCATAATTTATTGACTATCATCAGTACTTTCAGCTTTTTACTCTGCATATGTTGGTGTGTGGTAAAGAAGGAGGTATTAGAAATTATTCAGAAATTGAAATTTTATGTCAAATTGAATTTTAAAATAACTGGGAAAATATAAATTTATCCATATCTCTGTATGTAAACTAATTTAAGAAAATTATTATTTCCATGTAGTAAATAACTGCTTTCTCCCAAACTTTGTATTTGGGAAATAATTTCATATTTCCTCCCCACATTTATTTTACAATATGTTTTCTGGTTTCTGTCACTGTAGCAATCGCTTCTTGCCTGAGTTAGATCCAGATGTACTTAATGGTGGAAGAGTTCAGCTTGTGGTAAGATATGTGTTTAAAGTTACAAAAAAAGCTGTAGACACTAATGCTGAATAAATGGCCCTTTAAAATATGTCCACAATTAGTTTAAACTATGAAATTGTCACTACCATATCTATTTGGGGTAATCTCAAAATACCATATGTTTAAATAGTAACATATTTTTGGGGGAACCAGCAGTTAGCGTAATGGCTATGTCGCTGGACTCCCATGTAGTCGACCATAGTTCGCGTCCCGGACCCGCTGGCTTAAAACTCATGCTGGGCATGTGTGCATGAGTGCCCAAGATCCCGAGAGGAGAATGGAGGAGAAGAGATTGCGGCGTGACCATCCCCCCTGGGGGGTGATTTCTCGCTTTCTGTCTCTATGTCTCTCTCTGTCTGTCTGGTGAGTGCATGTGTCCTATTGTGAAAACTTCTCAAAAAAAAATAGTAACATATTTTTTCAACTTATAACTTTAAAAATGACATGGCTTTAAAATATTAATTTTATGTGACAGATATAAAAGCATTATCATGCTACCATTTTACAATAAAATTTTTCTGGATGGGATATCACTTAAAGTATTTTCTCAAATATCTTAAGAGAATATTATTTATAAACTATACTTTATAGAAGCAGCAAAATACCCTCAAAACTCAGAAAAACAAACCATATAAAAATTAACAAGTACTTATGAGCACGACAACTGTCAGTAATAAAGTATCAATCATTTGAGTTTTAGGGGTAACTGTGTTCTAAACATGGTAACCTGAGAATAGACTCTACACAGTATAACTCTATGTGCACAGCTAAAGTCAATTGTACTAATTGTATTAGAGGGAAGACTATGTAAAGAGAAGGAGAATGGCCAGTATGGAGTCTAGAAAAGTGGATACCACAAAACAAGAAATTTTCAGTGTGTTTCCAGAAATTTCCAGAGAAGTTACCCTGACAATTGACAGAACTGTGTGGCCTCCTTGGAAGGTGAAACCATCAGGTGACCCTAACTTTACAAAACCTTCCATTTATGTCAATCAATAACCCTTGGTCTGATTCTGCATTCACTAAGGAAACATTATAATTTAGCTTTCCATGTAGAATTTCAGATAAAAAGATAATGTGCTTTCTGTTGGAAATGAGTGTTAGAGTTTTCAGAGCAATTATATTATCATTTTAATTCACAATTCAAATAGTTTTTCTAAAAGAGGAGTAAGAGGACAAGAGCTGGCTACATGTATTTATGCATGTGTTTATGAAAGTATTTCTGGCATCTGTGCATAGATTTGAAATAAACACTTATTTTAATTTAAAAAGAGTCTCCTTGGAGAGTGGCATGCAATTATACTATTGATACTTCAGGCTATTAACACCATGTATGTTGTTGACTAACACTTTGGCACAGATTGGTGGTGAGTTGCCACTGTGGAATAAGAATGGAGAACATAAAAGTGCCAAGGAATACCAAGAAAGAGGAAGTGATATCTCATTTAATTATTATACTTCTAAAAAGGAATGAAAACAGGCTGGATAGATTACTTATCAGATTACTTCTATGTAATTAATATTCTAACATTAATCATCTTTTTTATACCCTTCATTCTGTGTGTTCCTATATACAAATAAATGACAAATACATAGAAATGATAGGTCCTTTTTTAATATTAAAAAGATACAAAATAAATGATAGTGGAATAGATATCTTTTTCTTTTTTCTTTCTTTGTTTTAGATGAGTAGAATCAGAGGAAGAAATCAATGGCTTATATTAAAATGATACTAGACCAACTAAAGGCCCAGAGTAGAACTCTTATAGAGAAAATAAAATTGTCCACTTATGAAAGGGAAGAGATAGATGATTGCATAACTGGGACCACACAATAAGTAAAAGGAAAGTGGAGGAAAGGAAAAAAAGTTTCAATTCTGCTAATACATGATTCTGAAAGATATAAAAATAAACACCATAAGGGCCAGCAAGTAGTTTGGAGGTGAAGGCGCTGGATCCCACATGGCCAATTCTGTGATTCAAGTCCAGACCCAGAGGCTTGAAAATCACACTGGGTGCACGTGTGTGAAAACACAAAATCCCAAGAGAAAAATGGAAAAGGACTTGAGGCTTGGCCATTCTCCTGTAGGGGGATGATTTCTCACTTTCTCTCTCTCTCTGTCTGTCTCTGGCAAACACACATGCCTTATAGCAAAATATAATAATAATAATAATAATAATAATAACATCCATAATAAAAAGATATAAAATTATGGAAAAGTGATCCAATGTTATAAAGAACTAATGGCATGCAAATGAATCAATGGTAAATTCTGGAAATAAAAAAATAAATTATTTAAATACACTGTAGATGGGACCAGCAGTTAGTGTAATGGCTATGTCGCTGGACTCCCATGTAGTCAACTGTGGTTCGAGTCCCAGACCCGGCAGCTTAAACTCACGCCAGGCGCATGTGCGTGCATGCCCAAGATCCCAAGAGGAGATCGGAGGAGAAGGGATTGCGGCGTGATCATCCCCCCTGGGCGGTGATTTCTCACTTTCTGTCTCTCTGTCTCTCTCTCTGTCTGTCTGGCGAGCGTACGCACCCTATAGCAAAAACCTCTTAAAAAAAAAAAAGCATATGTCAAAAAACTATGACTTATGCCTTAATAATAGATATAAATCTCATCCAAATATTTTTATTAGCCTTTAATAGTGAAGACAAAATAAGGCATAATAATAAAACATGTAAATTCCAGATTTTGAGTAAGCTAGTATATAATATGTTCATTTTCTCTGTCTTATAAGCAAGTACAAAACATATTGCATAATAAACAGGAATTAGATTAATGAAAATAACATATCATTTTCCTTACATTTAAAAGTATATCAGAAGGCACATCAAAGATTTAGACAGTTGTGTAGAATTAATTTGGGACCAGCAGGTGGCATAGCGATTAAAGGCACTGGATTCCCACACAGCCAATTGTAGTCCAAGTACCGGACCTGGCAGGTTGCTTTCTCGCTTTCGTTTTCTCTTTCTCTCTCTCTCTGTCTCTGTCTGGTCAAATTAAAAAATAATAATAACAAGGACCAGCAGTTAGTGTAATGGCTATGTTACTGGACTTCCATGTAGCTGACAGCGGTTCAAGTCCCGGACTCAGAGGCTTAAACTCACACCGGCGCGTGTGCGTGCGTGTTCAGGATCCCGAGAGAAGAATGGAGAAGGGATTGCAGCGTGACCATTCCCCTGGGGGATGTGATTTCTCACTTTCTCTCTCTGTCTTTCTTTTGCCGTATGGCAAAAACCTAAAAAGACAAAAAAAAAAAAAAATCAAAAAGTTCAATACCTTGTTAAGAATAATCTCAGCACATCATAAACATTGAAATTCAGAGAACAATGGAACAACATCGTCAAAGTTCTGAAAGGAAAGAGTCATCCTTCAATTCTATATCAATGAAAACATAACTGCAACAATTAAATTTAACATAAAAAGTAGAAAAATTATCTCAATATACACGGAAAAATTTCTTAACAGAATTCAACATTTACTTATGATTAAAATTCTTAGAAAATAGAAATAGAGAAGACTTCCTCAACTTTATGCTTAGTGGTTAAAGATGAAGTGTTTTATACCTACTACCAAAAAAAAGATAAAGAAATATGATGGGCAAGGGACCAGCAGTTGGCATAATGGCTATGTCGCTGGACTCACATGTAGTTGACCACAGTTCAAGTTCCAGACCCGGTGCCTTAAACTCACTACAGGCGCGTGTGCGTGCGTGCCCAATATCCCGAGAGGAGAATGGAGGAGAAAGGATTGAGGCATGAGCATCCCTCCCTGGGGGGTAATTTCTCGCTTTCTGTCTCTATGTCTCTCTCTGTCTGTCTGGTGAGGGCTTGCGCCCTATAGCAAAAACCTCTAAAAAAAAAAAAATACTAAGAAATTCACAAAATTATATCTGAACTAGTAAGTGAATTTACTTGATGCTGTAGGATAAAGATTATGTTTAAAAATCAACTGCATTTCTATATATTAGTAAATGATTTTTTTAATTACAGTATTTTATTCACTGTAGTATTAATAAGTGTTAAGTATTTAAAACTAAATATAAGCATTAAAATGTGCAAGGACTCTATACCGATAAATATAGGGAACTGCTTGTAAAGAATTCAGAGATATAGGAATCACCAGGTGTGGAGGTTAATGCACAGATCCTACGTGGCCTATTTCCCAGGTTGGGTCCCAGGTGCACTGGTTTAAAAATCATGCCAGACATGTGTGCATGCATGCCCAAAATCCCAAGAGGAGAACGAATTATGGCGTGGTCATCCTCCCTGGGGAGCGATTTCTCTCTCTCTCGGTTTCTCTCTGGTGAGCACACATGCCCTATAACAAAACATACATAGATAATACATACATAAAAATTCAGAGATATACCATTTATGACTTAGAAAACTCAAATTGTGAAATGTTAATTTTCCCCACATGATCTATAGATACAGTGCAATCCCAGAAACCTTTTTGGTAGAAATGGACAAACTTATTTTAAAATGTATATGGAAATGCAAAAGACCTAGTATAGCCAATGCCATCTTCACAAAAGGAAAGAAGACTTACACTACTTACTTTCAAGACCTGCTATAAAGTCCCAGTAAGGATGATGACTATTTTTATAATGTAATCTCAAAAGATTACATACTGTGTGATTTAATTCACATAACATCCTTAAAAATCACATAATTACAGTGCTAGAAACACATCAGTGGTTGTCAGTGGTTAGTGGTTAGGTTGGAGAGAGGGTGTGACTGCAAAGGAGAGAAGGGAAACGTCTTTGGGAAAATGGAATAGTTCTATATCCTAATTGTGGTCATAGTTAAATGAGTCTATACACATGATAAAATGTCATAGATCTCTCAAAAAAATTTGTTAGTGTTAATCTTACTTTGGTTATGTACAGTGTTGACAATGTGACAAACTAGGGGTAGAGAGCACAGGGAAATCTTGAAAAATAATACTATTTTTGGAATTTTGATAA